CTCAATATTTAACTCTCTTCATTAGAACAATAACTGTGACTATTTATAGTTCAAATACAAAACAATAACAAAATATAAACTAAAACAAACGGTATACTAAACACACATGATAAATAAATAACAAAATCAAAACTAAGACAAATGACAATACAACTAAAAATAACGACTATTATAACTAAAATCTCTCGCATCACAAACTGGGCCATAAAATGTGATACTTCGACTTCCTTGTTGTCCATTCACTATAGTAATGTTTATAGGACTGCTTGTTCATTATATATATATATATATATATATTTTTTTTTTTTTATTGGAAGAGTTAAATTAGAGAAATATAGGTCCCGTTAATTTCACCGATTTAAGTTTTGTTATAGTAAAAAGTTCTCATAAACAGTCACATCAATTGACGGTGAAAATTAGTCAACTGGTTAATAACAAGTTTTTTGGTGATGGGTGAGCGGATTAAGGATGAGATTCTGTTAGGATCCTAGGAATTTAACTAAGATCTGGTCAACAAATTGATACTTCCTAGATCCAACTCTACGTGTTTTTATTGCTTTCAATTAATTAATACAACTCGAGGCTCAGAACAGGCCCCTGGAATCCAAGATGGAAGAAGAAGAAGAACGAAACATAAGGAAAACAAGAAAACAGGAAAATAAGATAATGGTGGATTTTCAAGTAATCCCCAGACTCCCTAGTGGTTGCTCATGCACAGAATTCACGATCCCTTCCCTCCCCCTTAGCTAGGCTATTTATTCTCTTTGCTAGTAACTAACTCCTCACCCTCACTAACAGAATTCCACCTCCCGATGCTCATTACTACCCCAAATTACCAGCCTGTCCCTGCCCGTCTCTCTTCCCCCTTCTAGCATATACACTTAAGAGGTGGGGACCTATCAATACCCCTGCCTCAAAGAAACACCTTGTCCTTAAGGTGTTAAGTAATCACAGCCGTGTGACTCCACCTCCTTCCAATCTTGATGATGGGGTTGGATCTTGGAACGTCAAAGGTAACGGCAATCCTAAGTCTGCCCTTTGTGAAATTTTCAACTCCAATTCCTATCACGCCAATTCCTTTCAACCCCCCTTCTACCACCCCTCTCTTTGTAGAGCCGACCCCAATTGGACTGAAATAAGAAGACCCAATCCAAATGTCACTGGAATTGGTGTGTAGCCCAGCTTTAACGGCATCGGAACCAACCCAAATCACACCGGATTTGAGAAACCCCGCCCTTGGCTCGCCAGAATATGCCCTAATTGCGTCAAAATCACAAAACCCAGCCTTAAGGGCATCGGAATTTATGGGTCCCCTTCCAATGCCGTCAGAATCTGCCTCCATAGCACCAGAACCAGCCCCTTTCACGCCGGAATTGCGAGGCCCAGTCCAAACCGGGCTGGAATCAGCCCCAACCTTGCCGGAAACAACCTCAACAGCGTCAGAATCATGAGACCCGCTCCAAATTTGGCCGGAATTTTTGAAAACAACACTAATCTCACCGGGATCAGCCTTAATGGAGTCGAAACTGGAAGATCTGGTCTTGCCTTCGCCGGAATCCACATGAATCTCGCTGGAATAAGGTGACCCAGTCCTAACCCGGCCGGAATCTGCCCCAACCATGACAGACTCACAGCTGGGTTCCCTGTTCTGAGGGTACCCCTACCGTCCCAGCCCCGGAGCAAGCCTCTCTTCCTCTAACTCTAGCTCCCACTCTGATTCCCATCGCCGACCAAGCTCCGCCTCCCTCTCCCGACGGTCGCGACCTCCTTCCGCCCTCCTCTCGTCGTCGAACCAACCCTCGCGCTACAGATCCGGACCACCCAGCCCCAAATCGCGACGGATTGCACACTCCTCCATGAGAACCACGTCTCTCCGGCGTCGAAACACCGTCTTGCAGCCTCGATCTTCGTGAATCGGTGCTTCCCGGTGAAGATCCGCCCGATTTGGTACCTCCACTCCGCCTGGGTGGTCGCGATCTGGGCTCTCCTCGCCCTGAGGCACGCGCTCTCGCCTCTCCCTGTCCCGTTGTTTGCCGTCGCGACCCCACTCAGCCTCCCCGGCCATCGGCCGCGCCGCCAGCAGTGCCTCCATCCTCCGCAGTGCCGCCTGCACGTCTTCCAGCTGAGTCTGAACCTTCCCCAGTTCACCATGCAACCCAAGCCACTTCTTCACGGATATGCGGGAGGTTGCCTCCTGGACCACCGCCAGTCCCTTTTCCACCGTAGTTACCCTCTCTGGATCCGCTGGTTTAGGTGCCATGGATCGATGCTCTGATACCATTGTTAGGATCCTAGGAGTTTAACTAAGATCTGGTCAACAAATTGATACTTCCTGGATCCAACTCAACGTGTTTTTATTGCTTTCAATTGATTAATACAACTCGAGGCTCAGAACAGGCCCCTGGAATCCAAGATGGAAGAAGAAGAAGAACGAAACAGAAGGAAAACAAGAAAATAGGAAAATAAGATAATGGTGGATTTTCGAGTAATCCCCAGACTCCCTAGTGGTTGCTCATGCACAAAATTCACGATCCCTTCCCTCCCCCTTAGCTAGGCTATTTATTCTCTTTGCTAGTAACTAACTCCTCACCCTCACTAATAGAATTCCACCTCCCGATGCTCATTACTACCCCAAATTACCAGCCTATCCATGCCCGTCTCTCTTCCCCCTTCTAGCGTATACACTTAAGAGGTGGGGACCTATCAGATTCAGAGGAGAACAGAAGACTAACAACACCGGGATTTAAAGCGGTTCACTCCAATATAGAGCTACATCCACTGAGATGGTTTTACTATTCTTTTAAGAAGTTACAAATTCTGGGGAGAGAGATGTTCTAGAATCCGAACCCCTTTCAGGCCATTCTCCCTGTATATATACATGATATTGCCTCTATCAATTATCAATTATTTAATCAAATCCCATGATATCTTCACCAAACTCCGGAACAGTAATCTCTGATCACTGAGATTTCAGCCAGTCTGCCTGATTTTCTCCACCGGCTTTGCCACTTACTATGCATGCATTTAATGCACGTCAAATCTCTGTACAGTTGTCACTTCAATCTAAACGTGAATGGGTTCGTCGCTCGCCTTCAGTTCTTTAGAAGCGGTCTTCGCTTATGGCCAGTAAAGCATTCGTCTCCATGTCGTGGTCTTTCTTTCTTGCATTCGACCTCTTCAGCGGAGTTACTTAATTGTTAAAGGTTGGCGTCCATGAAATGCACTCTACTAATCATTCCGTACCTTCCTGTCTCAATTATTTTATATTTTAATTGCGTCACATGGCGCCCAACTATTGCCTCATGTGGAATTTAAGGTTTTATCCCACAACAATATTTAACTTTTTTACTACAATAAAAAGCTCATATAAAATCTTATCTCAACTCGAATCAGCGAACTAAACGGACGGCGGATAGTGCTCTAACCAACGTGCACGAACATCTTAATTTTGTAGTAGAGCAAAGCACATCGACCTTCCCTTGTTTTATTTTAAATCAAAGTCTTAGTAAGTGAAATATTTGATTGGATCAAGTCCAACAGAGGCTTTTCCTAGTTACTTGGTTGGAAGGCCTAGATCCTAATATCTTATCTGCTTCATATAACAATCATTAAGTACGTTGACAATGCAATTTTCTCAAAAAACTTGTCATCTTGACTCTACTATGCCAGACTTCTGGTGGAATTGGAGTGTGTTGGGATTAAAATGATATACCGAAAGATAGATTCGGCACAATTCACACACAATCCAAAATATTTGATCGGATCCTGCGACTCGGGCGCACGGCTGGTCATTCAATGGGTGACTCAGGCAACTGATCCTGGTCGCCGAAGTCACTCCGATAATCTATCCTAGAAGTCACCTACTGGGTGACTCTAGCAACTAGTGTCAGTCACCTAAAGTTCTTGGTGACTTGAAGGGGCTTAATTTCATAATAGAGCTACTTTGGCTATTACAAAAAAACAATGGGGGAGAAAATAAAAAGAAACTTAAATATAAAAAGTCAAAATATTTTTCTAAAAGGAAAATAGTAAGGTATTTCTGTTTAGAGAAGCTTAGAAAATATAACTTGTTATCAGTACTAATATATATTTGTAACCTATGGTCACTTGGAGTACTAGTATTTGAACTTGCATTTTCTTAACTTCAAAATTTTCCCCAACCTCTCTTCTTCCTCCCCTCTCTCATGTTTCTCTTTTCTTCCTCTGTTCAATGTCGATGCTGCAATTAACGACGAGGCGCTTGCCTCGCATAAGATAGTGAGGTGCAAGGCCGGGGATTGCGCTGCAAGAGATCACGCGAGGCACTATGTGACAGAGATCATCTCTATTGAATTATCTCGGTCTCTATTAAGATTTATATTATATTTACATTAGGATAAGGATAGTTTAAAATATTAGAAATTAGATTTGATTTGGGATTTACATCCTATAAATAGTTTTCTGCAATTGCAATAAATCCTTAGCATTACTTCTCTCCTTCTCTTCTATATTTTGCATTGGATAATTTTCACCATCTTTGAAGATTACAAAACGCCAGGACAGTAGTTGGAGACAAAAGCATACAAGAAGTGCTACTTTCAAGGCATAAATATACAACAATATTTTCAAATCCCGGTATAAATAATACATCTCTAATCATTAAGAAAAATGAGAAGGGTGTTAAATGAGTGAAAAATAAATGGTACATTTTTTGAGATTTACCCTGATGTTGAATGATATTGAATGTGTGAAGCGAACGGGCCGTAATGTTGAATGATATTGATATGTAGTTCGGTTTTCAAATTCATTAAAAAAGAATAAAAGAAAAGAAATGAAAATCATGTTACAAGAATACCTTCGTTATGATCACTTAAATCACAAAATCCTTCACCCTACTTACCCAAGCTTCTCCATTTACAAGAATACCTTTGGCAGAGGTCTACTAGGAAAAAAAAAAGGAAATTTTGAAAAAAAAAAAAAAAAAAAGGAAAAAAGTGTAGTTCTTCAATATACACCCCCCCCCAAAAAAAAAAAAAAAAAGAAGAAGAAGAAATGAATCAAACCGAAAAAGAAATGAATCAAACTGAAAGCTCTTTTGTCTCGATGCTTTGGTCATACTCGTATGTCAAAGTGAAGGTCGTTGCAGTAGGCCCGGCAGAGGTTTCTGAAGACAAAGTTGAAGTATCTAGTTGGTCCGGGGAAGAAGGCAGGTTATAAGAAGATTCTATAAGATTCTTGGCTGGAGCCTTGGTGGTCTTCTGAGGACCTTTCACTTTGAGGTCCATGAAATCTGTTATAAAGCCAGGCATTGTTATCTTCAAGTCATTCACGTTCACCTCACCAATTAGCATCTTGACCACGGTCGACATGGAAGGCCTCAGCTTCGGACTGTCTTGCGTGCAAAGAAGGCCGACTTTTAGAAATCTGCAAGCCTCCTCCGCATCAAATTCCCCGTTTAATGCTGTATCGACAAGTCCGACCAGCTCTCTACGTTCATAGAGATCCCAAGTCTGTCATAGAAGAATCCAAGCCATTAATGGTTGTGAGTGAAGGATTGCTTGTAATAAGAAACCGAACACAAGTAAAAATCACCGCGAAAATATATGTTTTCTTTTGTTTTTTTTTTCATGTTCTTAATTCAATATTCTGAAATGTTGTTTCCTAACTATAGCTACAAAAAACAAGGTATTTTTGACAAAAAGAAAAGACGGGCTAAGTCGTAAAATGACTGAAGAAATCTATGAATGTTTGTGAAACCTAAGTAAAAGATAATTCACATTCGACATTCAATTAGATTATAGTTTTGTTTTAATAACCTAGAACGCCTTGGTTCATGGGGAAAAAAAAAAAAAAAAACAACTAGAATGCCTTGAACTTAGAAGCTCAGCTTCGATCTTGTAGCTTTCGCTAAAAGCCGTAGGACTAGTTGCCAGAGAAGCGGCCCTAATGAATCAAGTGTAGGACCATGTGAGACTGTGAACTGTAGACTTGAATACTGATTAGGCATACAATTTAAGAACTCTGGCAATTAAGACTATTATCGAACTCATCCCTATTAAGAATTAATAAACAAAGTTCAAAAGTAGAAAGCTCATCATTAAAGAAAGCATGCTCATGAAAGGGTGATGGAACTAAGTGAAAACAATCTGCAAATTTGAAGCAGAAATTGTTCCCTAAAGAATGTGATTCATGAACACCTTAAAGAAATTAACCTGTTTAATAAGGAACCGCTTGTTACAAAATAACCTTAACATTTTTTCTGTCAATTTGAGTATCACTGTGTCAAACCTTCGTTTTCAAGATTCAGAACACCTGAAAAATGGTTTTTCCTTTTTTTCTTTTATTATCTGCTTGGTGACAAATTTAGAGAATAAGTTGACAAAAGTATCAAAGCTACTAAGGAAACCAAGTCAACCTTGTTGATCATAATCATAGATTCAAATGCATCGAAAGAAACTGACTGCAAAGATTAGACAAAAGAAATACATACCCTTTCAAGAAGATATTGTTCTCCAACAGGTAGTCGTGTATTTGTGTTGCCTCTTCCGCAGACTATTTCAATGAGGAGAACTCCGAAACCATAAATATCAGCTTTCCTCGTCAGTTGCCCTCTTATCGCATATTCTGGTGCCAGATAACCTCTAAAAAAAAGGGACATAAATGCAGGAGAATAAATCAACAGAAGAACTACTTGCAGGCAGAGAGTACAAAAGGGTTATTACACGAAAAATAGGACTGTTAATAGCTCATGTGAGAAGGAGAATCCATAGTTGGTTTTTTGCAATTCCCTAGACAAAGACTACTTATATATGCTTGTGATGGCAAATATATTGGGAAGCCTAAGTCAATAATCAAACAATCTAAATTTTAGTTATGTAAAGTCATACGGCATAGTCGAAATTTGAATGTTGGTTGGCTTGCATGTGTTTGAAAATAGTAAATCATTCACCATCATCTGTACAACCAAGAGGAAGAACAGCCTTAAAGCTTTTACTCATTCTAGAAACTAAAAAAGCAATGTGAGAAATAACAAAGTGCGGCAAAGGAGATAAAGTTTGATTTTCTAGTGTATGTATCAAATGCAATTGACCACGAGCATCGCTGTTAAGTGGCCTACAAATTGCAAAAGAAAGACAATGTATATTATTCTCTGTATTTTTATAACAATTTGTTTCCAGTATCATGTTGCTTTCTCATGCGTTTTAGACAAAAAGCTATGGTGAAAAGGTAATACAAAGTTGAAATGGACAACATGAATATTAGAACTTACATAGTTCCAGCCACACGTGTGCTAATATGAGTCATATTTGACGGGATGAGTTTTGCTAGACCAAAATCTGAGATCTTTGGGATCAGGTCTTTTCCAAGAAGAATATTGCTCGCCTTAATATCTCTGTGCACAATATGAGGTCGTACTTCCTCATGAAGGAATGCAAGGCCTCGTGCAACCCCGACGCATATATTAAACCGCATCCGCCAACTAAACTGGATATTACTACAACGTTGTCTTCCACCTAAAACAAAGCAGTTTTCAAGCATTCAACTTCCATTTCATTACGTAATATGGGTAATGAACAGCTCTAACCAAAGAAATAACACATACAAAATAGCCTATAGATATATTTTTATACAATAGAGAATTTTTCAACAAGAGCAAAAATATAAAATTACCAAGAAGAGTTTGTGCCAGACTATTATTCTCAAGGTAGTTGTAGACCAAAATTCTGTGATTTCCTTCGACACAGCAACCGTAGAGCTGAACTAAGTTTTCGTGCTCGATCTTTGAGATCACATCAATCTCTGTCAAAAACTCTTTCAGCCCTTGTCTTGATTCAGCTGAAAGAACTTTTATAGCTGCAATCTTCCCATCTTTAAGCCGACCCTGACAGTTAGTAATACAGTATCAAGGATTTCCGCTTTGCAAAATAAGAGAAATTCAAAACACATGGTAAAATAGAAAAGCTGCAGTTACCTTAAATACAGAACCGAAACCACCTTCCCCTATTTTATTGTCTGGACTAAATTCTTCGGTTGCGATCCTCAGTTCTTTGTAAGTGTAAAGTTTCACATCATGAATCCCACAAACTTCTGTTAACAGAAAAAAATCGTAAATTCCCGTGTTGTCAAATTACACAGTGTTCTATGCAATGTATCTTTCTTCTATTTCCAATCAGTAGAAAGGATGATGCAACCCACCATCATCAATATCAAAACCATGTTTTCTTGCAAAGTCCTCCTTCCGACTGAATAAATACGAAAAACAAGTCATATCTAATGACTCTCGGGCGGCCTTCCTACTGGAGAGCCTATGAATAAATTCTTCAAATGAAACCACTTCCAGAGACCTGATTGTAAAAATGTACCTCTTAGTACCAGAAGCATAACCAAATGCAACATAAAATCAAGGAACATGAAAAGAATCCAAACTATGAGAAGCATTTCAATTAGTACAAGATTGGAGCTGAATTCTTAAAATGCCATGACAACCAAGAATCCCAAGTTTAGGATAAGCTTCTATTTCGGGTGAGATATGTAAATACGGAAGCGAAGGAGGAGAGGGAAGAAGAAGTCCAAGAGAGGACAATTAGGATTGAAGGTTGAAACAAACTATTTCAGTGCCAACGTCTAAACGTTTGTAGTAAAAATGAAACATTACAATGACATTATGATCTGAACTAAATAAAAACCAATAAAGAAAACAAGGGTTATTTGCTTAGTTAGACTCGCATATTATTCCGTCAATTTTCAATCAAGAGAACCTAATTCTAGCAAGTAAAAACTATGAAACTATTCGAGAGGTTGGATCAACATAGAGAGATAATCCTAAGAAGCTAAAGGACTCGTTTAAAATGCAGGATCAACATGATAAAATTAACTCTTAGAATCAAAGTAGCCTAAGAATCGGGCGGACACCGGCATTTTCAATGTTTCTTCGAGACTAAAAGGAAGATGAAAACTATAAGCAGGTTAGAATTCAACTTGAACCTACCAATAGAAGAGCATAGCAAGTAAAACCAAAACGAAGAACGCAGACCAGAAGACAAAAGTACAGATACCAAATGGAAATTACTAAGAACCAACACAGTAAGATCAAATGGGGCCTTCAAATATTGAAATCTTGATGAAATTATCCTAAATTGATGAGTTTGCAACTAGGCTAATTTCGAAGCTGATAAATTGATGAGTTTGAGCTGGTAACAAAAAAAGAAAAATATGAGGCTCTAATATCCATAAATCCTGGATCTACAATAGATTCTGTACGTTATTTCCTAGTAAGCTAATTTGAGAGTCTCTCTCAATGATGTTTTGACAATTGGTGCTCAGAAACAGAAAATTAAACTCAGAAATAAGCAAGCAAAATCCCAAAACAGGGGGAAAAAATCAAGAGGAGGAAATAAATAAACAAAATATTTAACCACCAACTTAAATTACAACCCAATTCATAAATTAAAAAACACCAAAAGAATAACCGGACAACATCAAGAACAAGGAATCCAAACCCCATAAAAGAGAAGAAAGCAAAAAAAACAAAAAAAGGGCCCAGATAGAAAATCACCTAAAAATGCTCAGCTTAGAGAAATCAAAAGGAAGAGATTATGGGGGGAAAAAAGGAAAAGGACCCAGATGAGAAAATCACCTCAAAAATGCTCAGAGACGCCAAAAAGTGTAAAGATTTAGCAGCTGACGATGAGAGGCGTCTGGGAGTGGGAATAGGGAAATGAGAAGATTGGGTTTTTGTGTCAGTGAACTACTCAGAACCCGAGGTTTAAAACAAAACAAAAAACCAAAAAAAAAAAAAAAAAAAAAAACGTACAATATAACCAAAAAATATTGAGAAAATAGAAAGTTAATGAATATCATAGTTATTATAAAACCACAGCACATATGTAGGAGGTAGGGTTTCACTGTTGACCCAGTCCAAGGGACCGCGTAAGCTTCGCTTGCTTTGAATGTTTCTGTTATAGCGTTGTACTTTCCCAGTCTCTGTACGGGATTGACAACAGGATTTTGATTTATCAGCGTGTTCTTGAATCTTGACGAGATTTTAAAGACAGAGAGAGCTCAGAAAAGGGTTTGAGGCTTTTGCTCTATTTGAGCTTTGGCTAATATAATATATTTGGTTGGGGATGAAATTCCTGGATGTTGCAGCTTTCACCTCATGAACTCCTTCATAGCTGCTGAGCCTTTACCCACTCCTACGTTGGCCAACTTTGAATTTTCTTTTTTCTTTTTTATTTTTTTGTTTTTCTTTTGCCCATTTATTACATTGACCAACGTTTTTTTAGCGTTCACACCCTTTTATTTTTGTCCATAATATATTCACAAATTTGGCTTCTTATTTTGAAAGCTTAGCCTTACAGGAAGGAATGCTGCAGGAAAGGTACTCAAGACGTACTAGTTAGAACATGACATCTTCACTTTTTTTTATCATTTTTTATATCTACTGTTTAATACTATTTAATATATTATTTTATTTTATTTTTTATTTACATAATAATATATCATGTGATAGAATTTAATATTAAATAATAAATGTAAAAGTGTCAAAAAGAACATTTCTCTTCTTTAAAACAATAATTACGTGAGTTATTCAAAAAACTCAAAAAAAAAAAAAAAAAATCAATGTGAAACGCTTGGCACATTATGATGACTTTTTACGTTCATTATTTAACATTGTTTAATATGTTCTACTGTCTTATTTTTTATTTATATAATAGTATATCATGTTAATAAAATCTAATATTAAATAATAAATGTAAAAGTGTTAAAAATAACATTTTTCTCTTTTAAAATAATAATTACGTGAATTATTCAAAAAACTCAAAAATAAAAAAGAAAATCAATGTGAAACGCTTGACACGTTATGATGATATAGATACCAATTCTTAGTATTTATTATTTGTTGATATATTTAGCTAAAAGTTTACTTTTATAATTTTTAGAGCTTAGGACAAAAAATAAATGTAGTAATTGAAACAACATTATTAAAATAGAATAGCATATATAAATGTCATTTTATATTTAAAAGGTCAAATTTATTGATATTGACATTGACATTGTAGACTACGTAATAGAAATTGAATTTCACAATATGATATTCAAATACAAGACTTATACTTTCTATTAATTATTTATAGTGCTCGGTAGTTAGTGTTTTAAAGAATATATTTTTTCAGGGCCTTGACGTCAAGCAATAGTCAATTGGATTTACAAAAAAGAACTTTTCATTTTACTTTGAAAATCTGAAAAAAGTAAAAGTTATTTTTTTTTGTACCTTATTCAAGATTTTTATTTCGGATTGATTAATAAATTAAAAAGAAAAATGTAAGGTCCCATTTGGTAGGGCCTTTTTTTTTTTTTTTGAACATTTGGTGTGTGCATGTCAATGTTAATCCCAATGTGATTGATATTTTGTATTATGTTCATAAGAAGGATGAAAATATTGAGCATATTCATGGTGTCCTTGAAAAATGTAAGGTCCCATTTGGTAGTGTGTGTGTTTTTTTTTTTTTTTTTTTTTGCGTTTATTTATTTGAACATTTGGTGTGTGAATGTCAATTCGAGCTGAGATGTGATATTTTCTGAGAGCTTTTCACTGTAGTATAAAAAATTAGATGTGGCATTTTCTGAGAGCTTTTTACTGTAAAAACCTATAACTGAAAACTTAAATCGGTGAAATAAACGAGACCTTATAGTGCTCAATAGTTAGTGTTTTAAAGAATATTTTTTTTCAGGGCCTTGACGTCAAGCAATAGTCAATTGGATTTACAAAAAGAACTTTTCATTTTATTTTAAAAAATTGAAAAAAAAAAAAAAAAAAAAAAAGGCTTCGTTCACTTTACAAATTTGAGTTTTTAATTCGAGTTGAGATGTGATATTTTCTAAGAGCTTTTCACTGTAACAGAAAAAGTTACATTTGGTGTGTGAATGTCAACGTTAATCCCAATGTGATTGATATTTTGTATTATGTTCATAAGACGGATGAAAATATTGAGCATATTCATGGTGTCCATGAAAAATTGTTGTGTTGGAAACATTCTTACTCATTGTGTTCTTAAATAGATTATATTAAAGAAATAATATTTAAATATGACAAAATGCATTGAAAACCTATTAATATATAAAATTATGTAAATAATAAACTATGCATAACATTTTTTTTTATATATATTTTACCGTAAAATTCTCCTAAAAGTTTACTTATGTCCTGTAAAACAAGCTTCTTCCGTTTCTCCATATCCACTTCCATTATAAACTCCAAAATTTGGTCAACGCTCTTGCACAACTTGACAGTCCACACATCAGCCGCCAGCGTGCATTTTATTCCTTTTTTTTTTTTTTTTTTTCTTGTACCGTTTCTCCATGTCTACTTCCATGTAAACTCAAAAATTTGGCTCTTGCACAACTTGACATGTTCAAAGCATCTTCTTTTTTGTTTATTAACTTTTTTTTAAAATCTTTTTCGGTACTATTGGTACATTAAGTTTTTTATTCATTAAATTTGCATAAAATTATATAAAAATAAAAAAAATACATAATTAATTATTAAAAAAACATGACTTATCAGTATGCCAGACGTACAAGAGAATTTCCTCTCTTCTTTTTCTTTTGAAATTAGACTGCACTTGTTTTGATTCTTTCATTGCCGAAAATCCAATCCAATGCTACATTCTGAACTTCAACCTGGGCCGACTGAAACTCATAAAGCTACGAAGGATCTTTCTGTTTCCATTGTTCAGCAGTGGCAAGCTCCTGTTAGTGATGTACTCAAATTAAACGTGGATCCATCGGTGACAGAGCACGGTTACTTCGCTGGTGTTGTGGGGCTTGTAAGAGACTCTTCGGACTATGTTTATTTTTTTTATTTTTTATTTTATTTTTTTTAAGGTTCCTGCAGGGGCTTTTCTCCCTTTTTAGGGGAATGTTTAGCTGTCCGGGATTATGACAGCGGCCTTCGGGTCTCTTCTTGATGGAAAGCGATTCGATTAATGTAGTTCGTGTTGTAGGTTCCGTTCATTTTGCCGATTCGAGTTTTGCTATAGTAAAAAGTTCTCAGAAACAATCACATCTAACTTTTTTACTACAGTAAAAAGCTCTCACATAAAATTACATCTCAACTCGAATTAAAAACTCGAATCAACGAACTGAACGGGCCCGTAAATGATAATTCTTCTTTGACTGCAGCTTTTTTAATTTTAAATAACATCAAGATCTTGATGAATGGTGCGAATAATGGTTCGTGCTGTTATATTTTTCGTAGCGGGAATGAGGCTGCCCACACATTAACAAAGTTTGTTTTCTCTATAGTTAAAGATTAGTGCTGGTTGGAAGAATTTACTAGTTGTATTGATTTATAAGTGCTGATATGGCTTCTTTTAGTTAATGCAAAACTTCTCATTCAAAAATCCAATGCTACATTAGGTTTCGAGATTTGCATCCAATGTAATTTAATTTATGGGAACTATTACGGTATGAATTATTATTTTTAAGCGACTTATCAGTAGTTACGTGTCGCGTGTTATAGATTGTTATTTTTAAATTTTTGGTTTGATACTCAAGACGGGAAAGAAAAAGAAAAAAAAAAGAAAATTCACTTTTATTAAGGATTTGATTCACGTATTTGTCCTTAAGCAGTGGATCACATGTCAAGATTAAGTGATTTAACATATTGAACTATTTTTGCCCTTTAAAATTTACGTGACGTTTAATTCATGAATTTAAAATTATAATTCATTATTCTAATTTTTAAAATTTAATTTTTTAATGAGAGAAAAATATTATAACAAAATTAAGAACTATGATTCTAAGTTAGATAGAACCCTGAAAAAACACATTACCTTAATCCAAGGAGATTTTTTTTTTTTTTTTGGCTCTGGTTCACATGATATATGAATTAAAATAAATAAATTGCATCTACCTACACACATATATATATATAGTGTTCATATTTTGAAATTTTGTAACTATTTCAATCATTACTGCGGGCCCGTTCACTTCGCTGATTCGAGTTTGTAATTCGAGTTGAGATGTGATTTTGTGTGGGAGCTTTTTACTGTAGCAAATAAGTTAGATGTGACTGTTTTTTAGAGCTTTTTACTGTAGCAAAACTCAAATTCTAAACTCGAATCAGCGAAATGAACGGGGCCTAGATTTTAATTTTATAATAACGATATCAATTATTGCCACCAAATATGGTCTTTAATATTTGGAAGCTTGTCTCTTGATCAACAACCAAAAGGCATCTTATCATGTGATGAAACCCTAGACAGACAACCCAAACAAACACAAACAAATATGTGAGCTAGAATGTGGACCACAAATTCATCTAAGAAAGCAATAAATGCTAAGTGCTTTTTTTTTTCCGTGGAACTAAAATGTTTCTTTTTTTTTTTTAGTATATCTGAAATATATTTTTACACATTGACAAATTTATATATCCCTTCATAAATGTTATGGCCCCAGCACTCATTTATAGTACTTCAACATTTTGCTTTTTCTTTTCAACATTTATTTGTAAGACTTTAATATAACATGTTCACACTTCACTTCTTGGTCTCCTAGGTCTTGGTCTCCTAGGTCTCCCGCCATACCCAGCAACCATAATAATAAGAATAATAATAACAATAATAACAATAATAACAATAATAACAATAATAACAATAATAATAAGAATAATAATAATAATAATAATAATAACAATAATAACAATAACAATAATAACAATAATAACAATAACAATAACAATAATAACAATAACAATAATAATAATAATAATAATAATAATAATAATAATAACAATAATA